GATGTGGCCGAGGCGCCTGCCAACCGCGCAGCCACCGTCGATGAGATCGTTGGGCTCATGCGAGCTTCGGAGACCACGGAGATCGTTGCAGCCATGAAGACCTTCTTCAAGAGCCACAACACCAGCATGCCGATATCGACGCAGTGCATCCCAGCTCGCCTGGCCAACGAGGCGCTGATGAAGCTGATGGAGTTCTCGAACAGCTCTGCCGACGTGGAGGAGCCCGAGAAGGGGAAGCAGATCGCAGTGTTTGCTGCTACTAGCGTTGCGGACTCGGTCGTCGCGGAAGTCCCCGTCGAGTGGGACGACGTGATGAAAATTTTGGACTCAGCAAAGCAGCACGGGCTCATCGAGAAGTTGCCCCGCGACGTCACGGACTCGATCGCAGAGATCGTCGATATGAACACGAACTTCTTGAGGGCCATTCGGTCGCAGATCTTCTTCCACATCCTCAAGAGCATCGGTGCCATGACCTACGTCTCTGTATCGCCTCCTGCTACTCAGAAGGCTGCGAAGTCTGTGAGGTTTCCCTATCTGCCGATGCACTGCCAGAGGGTGGTCCACGAGCTGTTTGACTCCTACAACATCGCTAGCGTCGGTAAGGACACGCTCGCGGAGAAGCCTGCCTTCCTCTCCCAGCTTGTTACTGGCATGTCTCCAGAAGGTGACGTCATTGGTTTGTCTTTCGTTGAGGCAGCGGGCAAATGGATGTCGGAGCTTGTCGACGTGGATATGTTTATTTGCGCCAATGGAGGGCAGCATTTCTTGGAGAAGAAGACAACATTCCTCGAGAAGATAAAGAAGGCCTCAGCCGAATCGATGAAGCGCCAGCTGGCGAGCGAGGGAATCAAGATCAAGACGACCATCACCCGACAGATCGAGCTCTTCCAGTCCAATCGCGATGCCGTTGTGGAGGAGATCGTTGCCGCGTACGACCAGCTTCACCAGACCGAGGCAGAGGCGGCCCTCCTCTACGCGAAGACGTCGGAGATCGCGATCCAGCGACTTTCGGAGAAGCATGGGGGGTCGCCTCCAGTCAGGGCCCCAGAGACAGCCGAGAGTAAGAAGGACGGCGACGCCGTCGCGGTGATCGAGGTGAAGAACCCAGTGCTGATCCCAATTGGCAACTGGTGGAGGGCCCTTCTGATGCAGGAGGGGGCCGAGCAGCACGTGATCCTCAAGGGCATCGTGGCGTCGGCGCAGACGAAGATCTCGGAGGTGATGATGCACCACGTGGCGGCCTACGGCACCAACCAAGAGGTCAACGGCCTCTGCGTCAAGCACGCGGATCCTCGCGAGGCGAGTACGCCGAACAAGAAGATCAAGCTCGAGGTGCACCGCGTGGAGTTGGCCAACAAGAGCGACAGGAAGGACGTCAACCTCCCCTTCTGGGGCAAGGTGGTCTGCGAGGGCGAAGCCGTGGCGATCAACAAGGCCATGTGCTTGCCGATCGGCGACAACAACGGAGCTGGCCCGAAGCTGTACATCGAGGGCCTGGCCAACAACCTTCGGCGGAGCGACGGGTGCCTGGCTTGGGCGATCGCGCCGTTGCCTGTCAAGAAGGGTGGCGCGAAGGAGGCCGACGAGGGCAGCGCCAAGAAGAAAGCAGCGACGGCGACAGCCAAGACGGAAGCAGCAGTGGCCACACACATCATCGACTACATGGACCTGCAGTGGACGATGGCCGACCAGACGTACACGTACACGCTGCCCTACCTGAAGGACAACCCCGACCACGCGGAGTTCTTCGGGAAGTGCCACAGGGCCACTTCGCCGTGGGACTTGGGCGAGGTGGTGAAGAGGGAGTGCTCGTCGAAGGAGTTGAGGACCTTCCTGACGAGCTAAGCGGCTGGCTGCTTCGGCCAGGGTCCAGGCTCGGAGAGCCTTCCGACTCTCACGAGTCGGGCTCGAGAAAACAAATCATGTTCCTGCTGATGCTCCTCGTCGTCCTCCAGGTGCGGCTGCTGATGGTGCTGATGCGCCTCCTCCTCGATCCCTTCCTCTTCCTCCCTCTCCCCCTCCCCTCCTCCTCCTCCTCCTCCAACTCCTCTTCTCCTACTGCTGCTGCTCCTCCTTCTCCTTCTCCTTCTGTTCCTGATGCTCCTCGTCCTCCCTCTCCCCCTTCCTTCCTCCTCCAACCCCTGTCCCACCCCCCCATCGCCCCCTCCCCCTCCTCCTCCTCCCGCGCGCGGGGGAGGGGGAGGGTGGAGGAGGAAGCCCTTTTGCGGTGCGATCGTTCTCTTGAGAAGCTGGGTTCTCCCATTCATATATCAGGGCTGCCGCCGATCGCCGATGAAAGAATGGTGCTATTTGTAATGTAAGAGTCTGGGTGCATGGGCCTCTTCGGGCCCACGGGGCACAGCTGCGTTCACTCGAAGTTAGAGAACGCGCACCATTTTTCGGGTGAAACAACTACTCTAGAGTTGGGCCCCGCAACATGTGCGACTTAATACCGCAGGCCCGATCTTCAAATAGATAACGAAGCTTAACTCCCAGAAAACTTTACCAGCCTTTGAATTTGCAATACCATATCAACACAAATCGGACGGATGCTCGCAGAATCAAATCCCAAAGTCCCCCCCGCGATCCCAGGCAATATCGGGCGGCTTCGGGGGGTGACCGAAACCGAAACAGCTCGCGCGTATCTTAGCGTAAAACAGCAACTACAAATACAACGCTCCAGTTGTTTCCCTTGGTTTTTTTCCAACTTTGGAACGTTTGTTACGGGTTCAAGCGGCTTGGGGGCGCGCGGGTTTGCACTTGGATGTTGTCCAGGTGTGGACAGCTTCGTCCCCACCAGAACTGTGGGGTGCAACCACTTCACCTGGAAGAACTTGTTGGGCGTGGTCCCGCCCGAGGCGGGCCCTCCCCACACCAGCCTCGAGTCCTTCAAGGGGTGCGGATGTTCGCTCCTGCGCAGAGGGCCCTTGCCCCGTGAGAGTAGGGCCAGGGCATAGGCCAGGAGGGTGAGGAGGTCCAAGGCCACCAGGGCGGAGAGGAGGTAGAAGAAGATCAGGAGGTACTGGGGCCAGTGGGGAAACCCGTTCCAGCGGGCGCTCCCGAACATCATCAGCCCGAACCATGCCCCTCCTTGCAAGAGGCCGTCCAGGAGGTGGTTCGGCCATCCCGGGAACGGGTCCTCTCCAGGGGGTTCACCAGGTGCCCCGGTGCGCCGGCGCCGGCCGCGCGCCTCCGGGGCTCGGCGGGGCGCCCGGGCTGAGAGATGTGCGTCCAGCTGGGAGAGGGCCCGCTGGATACTCCAGGAATGATCATCTGGAGTCCTCCCCTCCGTCCGATTGCCCCCCTCCTCCCCTCCTCCAGCCGGGAACTCCGACGAGGAAGGCGCGGGGGGAAAGTCTTCCACGGGCGAGGCCGCGGGGGTGTGCCCAGCAGGGGGAGGCGCGATGTAGCCCACAGGCTCCATGCAGACATCCTCCTCTACCTGCTCTGGGGCGGGGTCGGTGCCGTCGGCGGGGACGAAGTCCACGGTCCCCGCCATCCCAACGGCAGCCCCAATGGCCGCTCCAGCCACGGGAGCCGTGCGCCCTCCCGGAGGCAGGGCGCCCAGCTCGGCCGCGGCGAGCAATAGCAAACAGGCGGGGTGGGATCCTCCCCACCCCCTCATGATGAGATTAGGGGCCAGGGGCCCCTCCCGTAAAAGCACAGCTCGAAACACAGACGGCTGCGGAAGAGGGGAAAGGGAAAAAAGGGGAGGGAGCCAGAGCACTGCGGCCTAGGGGGGAATAAAACCGTTTAGGCATTGCCAAACGAGACCAGATCATGGCAACGCGGTCATAGGGGACATGCCAATCAGAGCCCCCAGCAGCCATGGTGCACCGGAGATAGATGAAAAGGCCGAGACCTCACACCCCTGCGAACCGAAACGGCGACCACAACAAAGAGTAGAGGACACCCTAAAAACACGTAACACACAACTCAACACACACACACACACACATAGGAAGTCCCCTGTTTGGATACGCCTCCAAGGGCCGTGCTATATGAAAGTGTGGAGACCTTCCGCGTGGAGATCTTCCGCAACTATGAGGAACCCATGTTATAGCATAAGAGTAGAAGCGTAGCAAAGCACATACGAAAGACACCGGGTTCCCCAAATTTTGGGGAACCTCATGTTATAGCAAGGCCCTGACATAACATAGCACAGCATGCCAGCTCCAAAACCTGATGATAGAATAACGTGATAATATGGATCACTGTAGGCACAGCAACGCACCTACGAAAGACGCGAGGTTCCCCAAAAGCTGGGGAACCTCATGTCATAGCGTGGCCGTGACATAATATAAGACAGCATAGCAGGTATGAGATCTGAGGTTATAGGACCCTGATAGTATAGCGTGGCCATGCCATAATATAGAACACGTACCAACTCCAAGACCTCATGCTATAGGAATTTCATGATATAGCAAAGAGAAGGCAAGGCACCTACGTCAGCGGTTCTCCTAAATGTGGTGAACCTCATGTTGTAACGTGGCCATGATATAACATAGCACGGCATAACACCACCGGAGCTTATAAGTCCTTGATATTATGGCCGCGGCATAGCATAGCATGGCACAGCGAAACAAGCCGTACAGGTGCCCCCCCCCCCCCCCCTCCAGCAAGAGCCTGATGTCACAGCGTGGCTGTCGAAGAGTCTAGAATACCATAGACAGCCATTGCGTGACAGATCATGATAAGGCTCACCATAGCAGAATGTGAATGTGTCATAGCACAGCGAAGATGATTAATACAACCTGCCGCCCCCTTCCCCCTCCCCCTCCCCCGCCTCGCTGTTACTGCACGCAATAGCACAGCATCAGTAGCAAAGCCCCAAATCATCAGATCGAGATGGCGGCCGTGCACAGACACAGACACCCGGGAGCAGGCACAAGAGTACAAAGAAGAACAACTCCAGCACATAGATTCCGCACAATGAGATGACATAATAATGAGCACGGATGCTTTTGATAGAGCCCGGGCACAGCGCACCGGCACGAGAGTCAAACGAGCCCATGAAGGCCGCGCCCCGCGAAGGCTGACAGATCGCCCGCGCCAGAGAAGGCGGGCATGTGCTCGAGGATAGCACAGCGGGCCTCCTCGTCCTCATCATAAGGATGAGAAGAATCAGAGACAGCGCTGATCTCGGACTCCGTGTCGCTGTCCCGTGGCCCAGGCCCGTACTCGTCATCGGACTCGCTCTGGGCGGACCTCATAGTCTGCTCATCAGGATCATCCTGCTTCATGCTGACAGGTAGCCAGTCGGCACGCCGAATGCACCCAAAGTGATAGATGCGCTCGGCGTGTCTGAAGCGGCTGGGACCCACGTAGCCATAGCCCCGCTCAGGCGGATAACAGTGATCGAAAAAGAGCGCACCAAGCCCAAGAGAAGATCCCTGGGCCCTGCGGATGGTGGTAGCATAGCCATAGGTGCACGGCAAGAAGTAATCTCCTCCGTCGGTGATCGGGTGCACGAGGAGACGGTGCTTGGTGCCCGTGAGCGTCACCGTAAAGATAGACTTGTTCTCCAGCACAACATCGATAGTGCCATTGGCGCCGTTGACGAAGCCCCGCTCCTTGTCGAGGTTCCGCGTGAGCCGAACAACCACACCAGGAGCAATGAATAGCCGCTTCTTGCCAGCTACCTGGGATAGCCTCCCGCATGGTGTCCGGCAGGTTGGCCCAGAGATCACACTGACTGCGACAGGGCGATGCATCGGCGACGTGGACGTAGCAGATATACTTCAACAAAAGATAGAGCACGGAGACATATGGCCGATGCATGGGCAAGCAATCCCCACACCATCCACCGACACACCATTCGGAAAGCATAGAACCTTGGGGTCCCCGCAGAGCGGCGAATGGTTCTCAGGCTTGTCGTAGCCACACGCCGATAGACACGCCGAATTCACCGCCTCGGCCCCCTTGTTCGTCACCGTGAGCCAGTGGAAGGGCTCCTCCAGATCAGCGCCGATAGCCATCCCTCTCTGCACGGCCAGCTCAAAGGGTAATGGAGTCCCACGTGCGCCCGGCGAAGAAGGACTGGATGACCCCCTTGTGCGGCTGCCTCAGGCGCACATGCCGCAGGAAAGATAGGAGACGATCATCGTTTGTCCTGTGTATAGTGTACAGTGGGATGGTGGTCATGACCGTGATCCACGTCCGCATAGCCGCCGAACTTCCGAGCGGATTCAGCTGCTGGAAATCCGCCGCAAAGAAGACCGTGGGCCGCTGCGGCAGCTCCCTGAAGCCGTTGTGCAAGCGCACAGCCACGTCGTCCTCGATCTGCGACGCCTCATCGATGATGAAGAGGTCATAGGTGCGGAGGCGCGACGGAGGCGCATAGTCAACGACGGTATCGGCCCTGCGATAGATGTGCCACGCAGAGTGTATGGTCTCCACGTTGATGTTCTCGTGCTGCACCTTGGTTTTATAGGTGTGCACCAGAGTGCCGGTGGGACCAAGAATGAGAACGTGGAGACCAGCGTCCGCGGCCCTGCGGGAAGCTTCGCACAAGACCTCCGTCTTGCCGCTGCCTGGCTCCCCATTCACATAGTAGAACTGCTGCTATACGATGTTGGCGTCGGCTCTGGATAGTACACCATCCACCACCTTCAGCACCTCCTCCTGGTCGGCAGACCACGTGATGCGAGGGCGCGCATGCGCGTCACAGATGATCCACTGCCGTTTGTACTCGTTGTAGTATGCGAGCCGTGCGTCAATAGACGAATCAGCCTGCATCAGGCGGTCTGCTGCTCGGCGGACATCAAGCGGGATGGCGTCGGGGTGGTCGCGGCAGTGCTGCATGTGGTTATAGTAGCAGCGCACGGCATGGAGCCGCGCTCGGAACGACCTTGCACGCCCAGGAGAGACGCGGATGCGCAGGTCCGCCGCCACCACGTCCTCGAGATAATCGAGCGCCGCGTCAACGCCGTGGAAGGGCTTACCATAGGCGCCCTCGGTATCATCAGCACATCTCAGAGGATGGAGCAGTTGATCTCCAGGGCGCGTAGGCATGTCCTCGGAGTCGGAGGACCGTGAGGGAGGGAGCCAAGACCAACTGTCGTAGGGCTCCCAGCTGTACTCATGGAGACGGTCAGCGATTGTCTCGACGGGCGCATCGAACAGCTCGACGATAGACGTGGCCTTCCTGGCGAAGCCAACCCAGCGGGTGCTCTTCATCTCCGCCAGAACGCGGAGGCGATAGTGATCTTCTGCCTCTCCCTCCTCCTGCGGCACCAACCCTTTCACCCGCTGGCGAATAGACTCTTCGCAAGAAGGACGCGTGCCCGTCATGCGCACGAGGTGCTGAAGATAATTCACCGCCTTCAGATAGTGCTTCGTGAAAGGGATCAACTCTGGATCTCCTTGTGGAGGCGCAGAAGTACCGGAGTCTCCGTGCGGGAACATCATAGTGCAGAACTGGCCGATGAAATTGTCCTGCATCTCGAATGCAAAGCGGACGCCCACCGCCACGCGGGAGTCGTCCCCGCGCCCTCTGCGCTCGATGACCTTCTGGTGGTCCCCCGACAGTTTGTAGGTACGGAGATAGCTCAGAAAGCTGCCACACGGCTTCGGGCCATCACCGACGGGGGTCCGCAATAGATACTTACGATACAGCCGCTTGGTGTCATTGCTGCCTTTGTCATCCTGCCCTGGTATGATAGCGTGCGCGTTGACGGCACCGAACGTACGCTACATGTGTTTGGCGCCTGCAAAATCCAGGAAGACCTCCGGCAGTCCCGGCGCCAGCTTGCACAGCATGCGATAGGTCGTGCGCCACGCCGAGCGTTCGTCTCCGGCGCTTCGCGCGGCGTCAGGCTGATAATCCATAGACTGGTTGCCCTTGACGACGTAGCCGTTGATGTAGTTCAGAAACCCATAGCCCTCCTGGACGTCCACAGAGCCGCGGAACACTTCCTCCAATAACATCACGAAGGCAGACCGATCCGCCTGGCCGCTACGGCCAGATAGATTCCCTTTCGGGCGCACCCAGGCTGCAATGTGGATGTGCTCGGTCTTGCGGCCCTGGAACTCCTAGCGAATGACGTAGTCGAACACCTCTTCGAAGAACTCGTTCGGGCGGAAAATCTGCTTCATCCCATCGTAGAGCAAGTCATAGATGTGCTCGGACAACATCCCCTGGCACGCCGACATGCGGTCTGCGGCCTTCCAGTCGGCGAATAGCGGCTCGTGCAGGAGGACCTTCCATTCCGCCGGAGCGATAGTGATGAACAGGTTGGGAAAGCCCTCCGCTGCCCCCGAAGCTGGGCGTGCTGACGCACGACATCGCATAGGAGGTCCTGCTGATGGTCGTCGTCGTCGTCCACGACGTCGTCACCGTGGTGGTGGTGGACGTGGTCGTCGTCACTCATCTTCACTCGTCGTCACTAGTGATGATGGTAGTCGCTGGTCGTCCGTCATCGTCGTCTTCACGCCTCGCTCGTCGTCGTGCCTCGTCGTCACTCGTCATCACTCCTCGTCATCGCACTCGTCGTCGTCGTCGGAAGATCCTGCTCGTGACGCCAATAGCTCTCGGACGTAGAGCTGTTGTCCGCCACGACGTCCGGCGAGATGCCCTGGCGCTCCGCGATGGCAATGCTGGCGGAGATGCGCTGCGCGGTAGCCTTGTCATACAGCAGGAAGGCAAGGTCAGGCACGGCCTCCGCGTCGCCATAGGTCCGGCAGCGGGAATGAACTTTCCGCAGGAAGCTGGATTTGATAGTCGGGAGCTGGGACTTCTTCACGAGCTGGCGGTCCTTGGCCCAGCTGCTCACGTCGCTGTCGCCGTACACCTCCCAGGGATAGAGCACAGGGTAGAGCGCCACCTCAATACCCCGACTCTGGATGAGCAGCCGATAGGTGGCGATGAACATCTCTCGGTACTCCGCAGGAGCGGCCAGCTCCCGCTTGTGCTGCATGACGTAGCGCCGATAGGTGCGGTTGTGCACCATGAGCCAGTCATACGCAGCACGCGCCCGGGGAGTCATAGCACCACAGGTGTCCAAGTCCTCACGCTTGTAGTTGACCCGGCACACCTGAGTCTTCTTCCAATTATCGGTAGGCCCCCTGGTGACAGAGCCCCGCTCCTTCTGCTTCGTGACGAAGAGCAGGAACGGCGTGATAGTTGCGGCCTCGTCCTTCGTGATGTCCAAGAGGTTTGCGATGCCCTCCGTGCCGTGCTCCCTCACGAAATCTGTATAGACGGCATACTCCTGCACCAAGGCCTCCAGCTCGTCCACATCCACGGGGTCCACGGGACCTTCGCGCATCGCCTGGCGCATGGCCGCGAGGCGCGGACCGAAGTCATAGGCAGTCACGAACCGCTGAAGACCAGGCAGATAGACTGGCCAATGGTTCTTCTGCGGCACCAGATAGAGCTGCTCGGTCTTGATGCCCGCCTCGATCTCCGCGGGCAGAGGCCACAGGAGCGCCTCCAACGGGAGAGGGCATCTGGTGCCATAGCCCCGGTCGCCACAGATGAGGACTCGAGGGAGACGACTGACACGGTCTGAGCGGAGCGTGTCACCATAGATCAACCTCTCTCCAGAAAGCTGTCCTTTGTGAACCTGCCGCCGATAGCCGCACTGCTGGCAGGATACCCAGTTCTCGTAGGCGATGAAGAAGCGATAGCCCTGAAGCAGCGCAGCGCCACGTCGCCCAGAGGGAAGCGCAATGCGACACGGCAATGCGCCATGGCACATCGCCGAGAACTCCCGTCGACGCTCCGCATCCAAACGACGGATAGTGGCTGCCCTGTGGCGCGCCTGCCCCAGCATTTAGAGCGGCACCGCCTCGCGGTTGACGGACTTGATCATAGCCTGCAGAGCCTGGTCCTCGTCTGTCTTCGCACGCACGCGCCGAGCCCAGCAGGTAGCAGCGCAGTCCACGTACTTGTCCTGAGGAAGCCAAATGATAGACTCAAGGACCAACCAGACGCGCCAAAGCACGCTGCTCAAATATAGTATCGGGCCCCACACTGGCTTGGGCGCGGAATTGAAATGCCAAACCTTTAGAAACACAGTATACATTGGGATAGCCCCAGGGGTGCCCTCCACAGATGCTAGATTAGCCAGGTTCTAAGTGCCAATAGCATCATGACACAAGCGGGAAAGTCATAGATAACCCTGCGACCGACGAGAAACAATTTCAAGCGCCCAGCCCCAGTCCTTCCAGACACGCCGAACAGGGCTCTCGCCAGCATCGGGCGCATAGTGCTCAGACATCCAGCGTCGGAGCACCGCCAGGGACACACCACGTTCATAGTGATCTTGCACAGCCTTGGGCCGCGCCGCGGCCTCCGCATGACCCTGGACTAGTCGCTGCACAACGGGGACCTCCTGATCGCCACTCAAAAACTCATTGGACAGAGAACCGTGCTGAATCCTGATGCGACGGACGACCGACTCGTGGCGGGCAGATAGCACCTGCCCGAGCCGAATCTCCAGCTGGCGGGAGATGTGATGCCGTCCTGCGGTATGATGCAGCATCATTAGCTCCTTGATGATATCCAAGTGCTGCCGCAGGTTCCCGACGAAGTGCGGGAAGTTCTGGCGCTCGGGCTGCTGTCGCATAGACGCGCCCACGGCGGCGCGGCCCTCGGAGAGCTCTCTCATGACGCGCTCGACCATCTTCACGTGGGCCTCGGATAGCTTGACGCCGAGCTGCTCCGCCAGCTTGCGCCCGATGGCCTTGCACCCAAACCTCGGATGATAAGCGACGAGCTCCTGGATAGCATCCACGTGCTCCCGCACGTCCCCGGAGAAGACCTCGAGATCAGTCTGCTCTGGCATTGCCATATCATCAGCCACGAGCTGGATGCCGATCTGGGCGATCACACCGCGGATTGCCTGCTTCTGAGCATCGGATAGCTCCACCTGCAGCTTCTGCTCAAGCTGATGGGCGACGCCCTGATAGTCCATGCTGGGGTCTTGCATCATGAGCCCCCCTCCGCCGTCAGCAGAGGGCACTGGGGCCCCGCCTGGGCCTGGGGTTTCCGGCCGCGGGGCGCCGCCGTGAGCGCCCCCATGACCTCCTCCTCCTCCTCCTCCTGGGCGAGGCGCCTCAGGCGCGGGCTCCTTGCCCCCCTCTCGGTCCACGTCGTCCCCGTCGGGGGGGCGGTGCTGGAGGGGGCGAGGGGGTCCCCAGTCCCCCGCGTCCGGGGCCCCAGCAAAGGGGGAGCGGGCCCCGCCAAGTGGGGGCCGCCCAGCAGGCCTGCACCTCCGCTCTGCGGGGCCCCTCCGGGTGGTCCTCCAGCCCGGGCCCCGCGGGCCTCTCGGAGCCACCGCTCGTAAGCAATCTGGGGGTCCTCGGGGTTAGCCCTCCAGGCGTTGAACCACGTCGCGTTGGCCGCGGCCATGAAGTCCTCATCAGGATCTCGGCACACCCCTGCCCGGGCTCCCTCCGCGAGGAGGCCCTCCCTCGCGCTGGCCGCTGCCCGCAGCACTTGGTGCGCGGAGACGGGCGGCGTGGAGCGGGCGGCACCCATGAGGAGCACCTCCTCAGGGACCCCCGCTCGGGTTCCCTCCCGATATCGTGAAGGAGGCCCCCGGAACTCTGCCAGGCCTCCTTGGGATCGAAGCGCCTCACCCGAGGGGTGCCATCCCCCCGCGTGTCTTCCAATAGCACGGGGTAGTGCCCGGAGACCTCGTCAGGGTGCCAGAGTGGATAGTCGGGCCCGCTGCTCATCGGGCTAAGGATGACCCTGACGTCCCCCTCCGACTCCCGGGTGCTCTTCCAGGTCCCGGCCGCCTGGAGGGCGGTGGGGCGCCCTCCCTCCCCGCGGTCGGCCCTCTCAGGGACCTTGAAGTGGCGCCAGTGGGCCCTCCCCTCCTCCTCCTGCATGTAGAGCTCCGGAGGGACCGCCTCGGGCGTCAACAGGGCGCTGCTGAGGTTCAGTGGGACCAATCGCTCGCCCCGCCGCAGGAGTGCGAGTGCGGCGCTCCCCCAGTTCCCCCCGTCTCTCCAGGCAAGGAGGAGGCGGCGCGACCTGGCGCACCGGCCCCCAAGGAGGTGGGTGTGCACCACGCTCTCCGCAGTGTCGTACCCACCCTCCTGCAAGACCTCGCGGGCCCCCCCCAGGTCCTGGTCCAGAGGTCCGTCCAGCACGACGAGGGTGGCGGCGTGGGAGAGCGCGTACCGCACGAAGTAGAGTGCCTCTCGGCCGGTGGGGTCGCTGCCACTGGAGCAGGTGACCCAAGTCTCCTTCACCGCGGTCCTGGCCCGCCCGGCCCGGTCGGCCACGAGTCGATTCTGGTGGACCTCCCACCAGGGGTGGCTCACGGCTGAACCGGGATTGGGGGTGGTGGCTCCGATCCGTGCCCCCATCTCTCCGGCCACCCGGCAGTAGGGGGAGAGGGTCGCACGCCACTCGAAGACCTGCACCCCAGCCAAGGGTCCGGCGGGCGGTCCCCGCGCCCGGCGGCGCTCCACCAGCTGGTAAGCCAGCCGGCGTCCCTCCTCCGAGTCTCCAGGGAGGACCAAAGGGCGGCCTTTCTCCGCCCCCGCGAGCACTTCCCTCCAGGGTCCCTTGAGGTCGATCTCCTCCAAGCCGAGGCGGTTCATCTCCTCCTGGACTACGCTCTTCGTCTCCCGGGAGATGTGGTCCATGCTGCTGTTCTGCTTGGTCCAGATTCCCGCCGTAACCGTGTGGAACCCGTAGCGGGTCTCCAGGAGCTGGAGGAGGCGCAGTCCGTAGCGGGCGAGACGGTTCTTCGCCGTCCGCTTGTTGAGCCAGATCTCCGTGTTGGTGTTGTCCGTGACGTAGAGGACCAGGCGCCCCTCCCATCTCGGGGCCTGGGCCACCGCGAGCACCAGGAAGGTAAACAGCTCGCAGATGGCGATGATGTCGGCTCCCTCCCCAAAAACCGCGTGGAACGGCTCCATGACCTCCTTGACATCCATGACCCCGTACACCCCGTTTGACCAGTCGGCGGCCCCCACCCGGGTCTCGGTGGCGCCCCCTCCTGTCCAGACCAGCTCCTCCATTCCGCCGGGGAGGGCGAGCCGCTCCTGGGGTTGGAGGACCCCCTTCAAGCCTGTGTTAAAGTGGGTGGTCCAGGCCTGGGGCGCTCCCGCGTAGAGGCGGAAAACTTCCAGCGCCTCCCACCACTCGTCCCACGCGTCCTTCTCCCTCCCCTCGCTGCTCTCCTTGATCTTGACCCAAACCCCAGCCGGGTCCGCAGTGCGGAGGAGCCGGTCTACCGCCCCCAACTCGGGGCGGAGGGGGGGGCAGGTGATGGCCGCGAAGTTGAGGGTGCCGCGGAGGACCTGGACATCCTTCAGGGCTACCTGGGTGTTCCCCGTGTCGTAGGCCGGGTCACTCAGCAGGATCCGGATCTTGTTGACCTTCTCCTCGGGGAGCCGCAGGGTCTCCTCCTCCGTGTTCACGTGGACCCCCCAGCAGATCTGGTCCACGCGGAACTCTCCCTCCTCGTCCTTCTTCTCCGCGTTGATCGCAAGAGGCCCGAATACTCTACGGGCCCCCTCGAGGATCCTCGGCCAGCCTGGCGGCCATCCAGGGGCGCCGTCCCAGGAGGGGCTCGATGAGGACGTCGTCGTCCATGAGGAGGTGCGAGTGGTGGGGCACGTCGTCGTGCCATCCTGGGTCGGCCGGCCGGTGGCGGTCATGGCACTGCTTCAGGGCCGTCCCGAAGGCCATGTACTCCCCCGGGCCCCCGATCCACCCGAAGGTGAGGACGAGTTAGATGGCCGCCAGGTTGCCCTCCATCCCGACCACCTTGCCAGGGAGCTCCGTGGCGAACATGCCGGCATCCTCCGCCCGTAACCAGATCCAGCGGAAGGCCTCCGCAATGTCCCGCTTGGCGATCAGGATTTTTACCCCCGGGTGCCGCTCCTTCCACCAGGTGATCTCCCTCGCCAGTCCCCGATGGCGGGGCTGCAAAGCTGGGGGGTGGAGGTGCTTGTGCCCCGTCTCGTTCATCGCCCTCTGGTCGTGGATGAACCTTCCTTCCTCCGAGATCGTGCGGTCGGGGTTCATCTTCGGCACCCTTCCCCAGGGGGAGGAGAGGACCCCGCTTGGGTAAGGTTCCGAGTCCTTTTCCGCAGAGGAGGACCCTCCCCCTCTTGGCGTCCTTCCACAACTTCTCCATCGGCTCCTCCATGTGCCCCTGCACGCTCATGTGCGGTTTGGAGGGGGCCCGAACCTGGGCCAGCGGTTGGCGGGCGGGAACCCCGCCCTTCACCATCTGGTGGAGGTAATCCCTGAGGTCGGGGTCGAGCAGCTCGCATAGCTCCTCCTTGAAAACCCCGTCCAGGTTGTTCCCCCACCGGCTCGTCCAGGCCTCTCGGTAGCAGTCGACTGCTTCCTTCCAGCCTCCCGCCGCCTGGACTAGGCCATCACCGAGTCGGGCCCCCTCCTTCGTAACTTCGGGGGAGTACTTGGGGTTGTCCGCACAATGGGTGCACAGCTCCTGCGCCCAGTCCTGAGCGGTTCGGCCCGCTCTCCCCGGCGCCTGGTTCCCCGATTCCGTCCCGCTTCCCAGGCTGCCAGCTGCCCGTTGGGGAGGCATCCAGGGTTGGCTCCCTCCCCCATCGCCCCCTCCCTCTCCTGAGGGCCTGAGTTTACCATCTCCCGTGGCCCCCCCCCCCTCGAGGGCGTGGTGGGTGGGTGTTTCGTGGCCGTCCAAATGGCCAGCGGCGCGGCGCGGGCGAAGCGCGGGGGGTATTGGGCGGCTTCCCTTGTCCGTTTGATGCCCGTCCCTGGGACGTTATCCCTGAGTTCCACGTGCTGGTGCACCGGAGAGAGACCGGGGCAGGGTCTCCGGAGCTTCGTGAAGAAGGGGGCCAGGTTCGCGGAGACGACCAGCCAGCACCCCTTGCGATAGAACTGGTCGGGGGACGAAGCGTCTGAGGGATGGAGGCCCCAGGCGCACATCGTTCCCGGGATGATCACGGCACCGGTCTCCTCCAGGATTTCCAACCACTCCGGGAGGTCGTATACCTTGGGATATATCCCTCTATGCTCCTGGTTCTCGAAGATCCATCCCTTCCTCCATTTGTGAAGGTTCCGTATGCACCTTACCGTGGTCTGGGAGAGGGCGTTTCCCAAGACCTCCTTGCCGTTTACACCGGTCCCCTCCGGCTTCTCCCAGGTGCGGGCGCCCCCTTTGGTGTTGTGGTCGCAGAAGGAGGTACACGGGTTTTCGAACATCCACACGTTGGCCACTCCTGGGCCCGGGGGAGTATCTGCCTCTTTGACCAGGGCCTCGGCGACGTCGGGGTTCGAGAGGTCGTGGTCCTCCCTCCTCTCCGACTCCTTGGGGTGCAGGGGGTTCCGGTACAGCTCCACGGGCTCATCCGCCTGGATGCCCAGCCGCTCCACCGCGCGGGCCACCCCCGCGGTTCCCGCGAACACCTCCTTGAAGCGGGGTCCCCAGCGGAAAGCGGGCGTGCCCCCCAAAGCTCCGAGGTGCTCCGAGACGAGCTCCTCCCACAGCTGGAGGGCGGCCCTGATTGCGGGTGCCCGGGCAGGCTCTGCCGCTGCAGCCCTCCGGCCAGCCATGAGGGCCGCCTCCCTCGCCGCGGGGCGCTCCTCGCATGCCTGGCACTTGACGTAGGTGCTCCAGGAGACCTCCGTGCCTCGGGCGTCGCGGTTGAGGAACTCCTCCCAGCCATTCATGACCGTGGCCTCCCAGGCACGCATCCCCTCCCGCTTCTCCCGAGGTCGGCGTTCGGGGGCGGAGGGCGCGGGCGTGCCCCCGGTGGATCAACATCCAGGCCTGAGGTGAGCCCTCCCCGGAGCGGGCTCCTTCCAGAAGGTGCGTGGTCACCTTCCCACCGTAGTCCATCATCACGACGTTTCCCAGTAGCTCAATTAGATTAGGATTATATTTCGTTAGGTTTATGTTGATTATCCTCTAAATCATGTTGATTAGAGGATAATTATCATCTAAATCATGTTGATTAGAGGATAAGTATCCTCTGAATCATGTTGATTAGAGGATAATTATCATATAATATGTCTGCTAGAAGATAATTATCCTCTAATTATCATCTAATTATCCTCTAATTATATTCTATAATTTTATCCTCTAATTATTCTCTAATTATCCTCTAAGATAACCATTTTGTTATTCCTCCTCATCCTCTCCTTCCCCTTCCTCCTCATCACAAGTATCTTCTTTGTTCCTCCTCCTCCTCCCCTTCCCCCTCCCCCTCGCTCTCCTCTTCCCAATCCTCCTGATCATGTCCCCCTTCTCCATATTCCTCGCCTTCCTCCTTCGCGACCTGCCTGCCTCATCGTCGTCGCACCGCCATCGTCATCATCAGCTGTCCTGTCCTCCACCGCCCCCTTCACCATCGCAGCACCATCGCCATCTCCTTGCCCCTGCTCGAGCAGGGGCAAGGAGGAGGCCCCGCCCCCTCCACCTCTAATCAACATGATTTAGAGGATAATCAACATAAACCTAACGAATTAGATTCCTAGTCTAACTGAGCTACTGGGCGAAATCACCGCTGATCGTTCCCGCGCCGTATCAAGCCGTTTTGGCTCGCAAGCTCGGGGCGCGAGGGGGGCAGGCTCGGCATGTTGCGCGCCCCCTGGGCGACCCTGGCGCCGCCGCAGCCGAGGCGCCGCGGCGGATGGAGGCAGCAACTGGTGGCCGCCGAAGCGGACGCTGCCGCGGCGGACGAGGACCGCGGCATCTCCCGTCTTTTCGGGAACCACCTGCTCTCTTGGTGCGAAGGCGGGATGTCTGCCGCAAGGCTCCAGCACCTCGCGGCGAGCGGCGCCGCCGACGGGTTCGAGCACCCCATGCTTGCCCGCGTGGCGCAGCTGCGCGAAGGCCAGAACGCGCAGGCTTCACTGATTGAGCTGCTGGGTACCACTGGCGTGCCGCGGATTATATCCGCGTTTCCTGGGGAGTTCGTCTCCCACGGTGTGCTCCCGAGCTCATGGTTCTCGCTGCTGCACGCCTACCCGCACGAGTTCCGCTTGCGCCTCGGCGCGGAGAAGACCAAGCTGCGCGGCTTCTGGCGGGACTTCTTGAGCAGGCCCGCAAATGCTGACCTCAGGGCCAACCACCCCATCATTGGTGGCATGGGCATCGACGAGCTCGAGACGGTGATCCCCCTCACGATGCATGCTGACGCGGGGCCCTACTCGAAGACGTCTGCGTGCTATGTCGTCAGCTTCGGGTCCCTCGTCGGCGTCGGGGAGGCCAAGCTGACCAAGTTCATGTGCGCCTCCTACGTGCAGCGGTCTGGCCAGATGGATGACTCCCTCTGGTGGCACCGTGTGCTCGAGGACATGGCCGCGCTGGGCTCGGGCCATGTCGGGGGCAGAGCGGTTGCGCGCGACTCCGACGGCACTCTCTGGAGAGGCGCGCTGGTATTCGTCAAGTGCGATGAGGACGTGCGCGCAAATGATTTTGGCCTGACGCACTTCTCAGGGGGCAATGAGGTGTGCCCCGACTGCCTCGCCAACCGCACGACGCGGCCTTTCACTGATATGACGGAGGGCGCCGCCTGGCGGCGAGGCGAGGGGATGAGCTTCGACGTGTACAAGGCCAGGGCGCGGGAGCCCCACCACCCGCTGGTGGCGAACGCGCATTTCTGCCACCGCTTCTTCTTCCCCATTGACATCATGCACCTCCTCGAGTGCAAGGGCGTGACGCTCCTTGTCTTTGGTTCCGCGATGATGTGGCTGCTGGCCGACGCCCGAGTCGGGGCGAACAAGGAGGAGCGCCTCGAAGCCATCAACGCCCGACGGGAGCAGTTCTACGACGCCAGGCCAGGGTCCAATCGTCTCCCGAAGATCATGCTCACCAACTGCACCGGGGACGGGTGGGGGAACCTCGCGGGGCCAGCGTATTAGGCGGCGAAGGTCAGGTGCGCGGCTCCGTTCTTCAGGGACGTCGTCTTCCACTACTGCGGGTCCATGCATGATCGCGACCAGCAGCTGCGAAGACTAACCGCCGCGCTGGACGACCTCTACACGCTATTGTACGACGCGCCGATGTTCCCGCCCGATGCGACGGTGGTTCGCGTGCGACAGCTGTGCCTGGCGTTTGGCAGCGCATGCCAGCGCCTGCGCGAGCTGTCGCGCCGCGCTGGGGTCTTCGCCTTCGCGGTCACCCCGAAGGTGCACGAGGTCCAGCACATCCCTCTGCTGACATCGTGCATCAACCCCGTGAGGGTCCAGGTGTACAGCGAGGAGTCCATGATGGGCTCGGTGACTGGCACGTGGAGGGGCTCGAAGAATGGGCGGTGCAGGCAGACCGTGCAGAAGGTCGTCCTCATCAAGCAGGTCACGGGCTTGCTGCTGCGCTTCGAACTGGACACTTGAGGTCACGGGCCTCGAAATGAAAAAAAATTGATTTTTTTTATAAAAAAAACCCACGAGCGTGGGGTTGCCATCGCTATCCCATGCCATGCCACGCATAGCCTGCGAGGGTAAGAAAAGGAGGAGGAGAAGGAGGAGGAGGAGGAGGAGGAGGAGGAGGAGGGAGGAGGAGGAGGAGGAGGAGAAGGACGAGGGCGTCTGGGGCCGTTGCCCTCAGGCATCCGACAAGACGTCGCAAGGACGTGCTCGCCGCGTGAGGAGGAGAGGAAGAGGCAGGAGGAGGAGGAGGAGGAGGAGGAGGAGGAGGAGGAGGAGGCGGAGATGAGGAGACGGAAGAGGAAGGAGGAGGAGGGAGGAGGAGGAGGGGGAGAAGGGGGAGAAAAGGGGGGAGAAAAGGGGGGGAGGCGGAGGAGAAGACGAGGAGGGAGGAGGAAGAGGAGGAGGGGAGGAGGAGGGCGGGGGGAGCGAGGATGGAGGAGGAGGAGGAAGAGGAGGAGGAGGAGGAGGAGGTAGGAGGAGGAGGAGGATGGGGAGGAGGAGGGGGGGAGGAGGCGTGGAGGAGGAGGAGAGGAGGAGGAGGAGAGGAGTGAGGAGGAGGAGGGGGAGGAGCAGGAGGAGGAGGAGGAGGAGAAGCGAGAAGGCGGACAGGAGGAGGAGGAAAGGGAAGGTGGAGGAGGAGGAGGAGGAGGAGGAGGCGGGGGGGGGAGGAGGGGGAGGAGGAGAGGAGGAGGAGGGGTATGGAGGAGGCTGGAGGAGGAGGAACGGAGGGAGATGAGGGATAGGAGGAGGAGGAGGAGGAGGAGGCAGGAGGAGGAGGAGAGGAGGGAAAGGGAGAGGAAGAGGGGGGGAAGGAGGAGGAAGAGGAGGAGGATGGGGGGGAAGTGAGGAGGAAGAGGAGGAAGAAGATAACGGGGAGGAGAACGAGGGAAAGGATGAGGAGGAGGGGAAGAAGGAGGAGGAGGAGGGGAAGGATGATGATGATGCTGATGATGGTGATGATGCTGATGATGATGATGATGTTGATGTTGTTGTTGATGATGATGATGCTGGTGCTGATGGTGATGATGATGATGCTGATGATGATGAGGAGGAGGAGGAGGAGAAGAGAAGAGAATGAGGAGGAGGAGGATGAGGAGGAGGAGTAGGAGGAGGAGGAGGAGGGGGGGAATGAGGAGGAGGAGGGGAAGGAGGAGGGGAAGGAGGAGGAGGAGGAGGAGGAGGAGGAGGAGGGGAAGGAGGACAGGAATCACCATCATCATCGCCATCATCATCGGCATCATCATCACCCTCATCATCACCAGCATCACCGCCACCATCGCAAACATCGTCACCATCATCATCACCATCACCATCACCATCATCATCGCCATCATCATCGGCACCAACATCATCAGCATCACCGTCATCACCATCGTCGCTCGCCGTCGTCACCCACTTCATTCGAATCCAACTCCCCCTCCTCCTCCATGGCCGTTTTTGGCGCAAACCTTATCAGCGCCACCTTCTCGCCAGCAGCACCTTCTCGCCAGCAGCACCTTCGCCAGCAGCACCTTCTCGCCAGCAGCACCTTCGCCAGCAACACCTCCGAGATGGCAGCATCGGCAGGGGCGAGGCCCGCGGAGAAGGCGCCTCACCCGTGGGTGCCGCGCTACGGGATCACCTACATGAGTTCCGAGCGCTCGCAGGTGCGCGAGAAGATGGAGTGCCACTTGTGGCTGGACGGCCCAGACCTGTGGATCCCCTTCATGTGCGAGCTCACGGCGGTGGGGAAGTGGGCGTGGCAGTACCCAGGCGTGCCCGAGGTGAGGAAGGCCCTGAAGGAGGGGATGCCAGAGTGGCTCGAGGGCGTGCCCATCGAGTGCATCCACCTCTACGAGGCGGACGAGCGCTCCTACCCGCCGAAGAAGTGGGGCGAGGAGCTCGAGGACACGTGGGTGATCAACGAGAAGGGCCGCACGATGGTGTTCGTGGATTGGCCGCAGCACGTCCTCAAAGCTCGGACGACGAAGCCCCTGAGGAGCGAGGCGGACGACCCCAAGGGCGACGGCTACTACACGGACAACGACGAGCCGAACGAGAAGATTGGCTCGCACCTGGCGCCCAGCGGCGTCGACGAGGATGCCTACGGCCGTGGCTTCGACCGCGGCTTCGACAAGGGCCACGACAAGGGCTACGACAGCGGCTGGAAGGCTGGATACAACAAGGGCTTCGCCCAGGGCCGCGTCTTGGCGAAGCAGCCCAGCACGCCTAGCGCCAGCAGCACGAACAAGAGCTGGGTCCAGGAGGGGAACGACGAGGACGTCGCGGCCGCGCCGAGCGGCGGATCGCGCCCAGGGCCGTAGAGGTTCTGAGGCGCTACG